TGAAGTTGAGCTTAATTTCATGAACAGAAAAGCCCTAAAATTCACAGGAATGGCGCCGCAAAAATTCAGCCGTTGAAGAAGACAAAATACCATAAATATAGAAATAAATGCATACAGAATAAATAGTACGAGAATCAAATTTGCAGTTTGAAACTTTGAATAGGTTGTCGTGGACCCCACTACAGAAGTGGTAACGAGCTGGCAATACAGACTGTTACCCCCAAGCCTCCATATTAATCCCCCACTCTCAGCTTGAATTGTCATAAATCCAAGAATTTTTTGTTTATTATCTTCAATTGCGTAAATCCAAGAATTTCTTGTTTAGTTTCTTGAATTGTGTAAGCATGGCTGAAGAAACAAAGAAATCTGTTGCTGTGGCTGCAACTGAAGAGGTTGTGGTAACTGATGTGCGGGTGGCTGAGAAATCCACTGAGAAGGAGGCGCCGCCACAGCCCGAGGCGGAGTGTGAGGTAGAAAAGGCTGAACAACCGGCTGCGGAAGAGGTTGTTGAAGAGAACAAAATAACTGAATCGGCTTCGTATAAAGAGGAAAGCAACAAGGTCGATGATCTGATTGACCCACAAAAGAAGGCTTTGGATGAATTCAAAGAATTGATTCGTGAAGCCCTTAACAAACATGAATTCACAGCTCCGCCTCCTCCGCCGCCTGCGGCCAAGGAGGAAGAGAAGAAACCTGAAGAGAAGAAGGAAGAAGAAACAAAACCTGAAGAGAAGAAAGAGGACGAACCAAAACCTGAAGAGAAAAAGGAAGAAGTAGAATCTAAACCTGAGGAGAAAAAAGAACCATGTGAGGCTCCTTCTGGAGTTCCACTGCCGCCTGAACCAGAGGCCCCGGTGGAGAAAAAGGAGGAAGAGAAGCCCACTCCACTGGCGGTGGCGGAGCCATCAGAATCAGTTGTTGAAAAAATTGAAGCTGCTGTCGAAGAAATCAAAGAAACGATAGTTCATGAAGTTCCACCACCAGCAGCGGAGGAGTGTCCCGCTGCCCCGGCGGAGGAAGCAGCCCAGGAAACAGCACCACCACCACCACCACCACCTGAGGAGGTTTCCATCTGGGGAATACCACTTTTGGCAGACGAAAGAAGCGATGTAATTCTCCTAAAATTCCTCCGAGCCAGGGATTTCAAGGTGAAAGAAGCCTTCTCCATGCTGAAAAGTGTTGTCGCTTGGAGAAAAGAATTCAAAATTGATGAATTTCTGGAAGAGGAATACATCGGAGAGGGGCTTGAAAAGGTTGTGTACATGCATGGAGTTGATAAAGAAGGGCACCCCGTTTGTTACAATGCATATGGGGAATTCCAGGACAAGGGTTTGTACAATAATACTTTTGCTGATTCTGAGAAAAGAGCCAAGTTTTTGCGATGGAGGATTCAGTTTCTTGAGAGAAGTATAAGGAAGCTTGATTTTAGCCCAGAAGGTGTTTGTACAATTGTCCAAGTGAATGATCTGAAGAATTCCCCTGGACTTTTCTTATTCAAGAAAGAACTCCGCCAGGCCACCAATCAGGCCCTCCAGTTGCTCCAGGATAATTATCCTGAATTTGTTGCCAAACAGGTATACATTTCACACCCATAATCCAATTGAATTTAACAGTTTTAGGCTTTTAGATGAGCATTTTAAAGTGAAAACATGCACGACTTAAATGAATAATTAGGTATCTTCTCTAACAGTTAAGATTTTAGACGAGGTGTATGATCAATATCTGACTTTAATTTGTGTGTTGGTGGTGGAAAAGGTGTTTATCAATGTTCCATGGTGGTATGTGGCCTACAACAGGATGATTAGTCCATTCTTCACAGAAAGAACCAAGAGCAAGTTTGTTTTTGCAGGCCTTACTAAGACTGCTGAAACCATCTTCAAGTTAGTCCTTAAATCTATTTTTATTTGATAAATAATCAATTTGCTTGTTCAAAAATTATGCGAGTTTGGCACCGAACTCTAATCTGTTATTGGACTGTGAAATTATCAGATACATAGCACCTGAGCAAGTACCAGTTCAATATGGAGGCCTCAGCAGGGATGGTGAACAGGAATTCACAACTGCTGATCCTGCAGTTGAGGAATTTATCAAGCCAGCATCCAAGCACACTATTGAATTGCCAATTACTGAGGTGAGCAAGTCTATGAAATCAGTGATTATTGCAACCTGTGAAAAGGAGACCTCGGGGATAATTCTGAGTTTGAAAATATATTATAGAAGAGTCTTGGCTAATAAGTTCGCATCGTGGTTAATAAAATGGGATTTAACAAATGATCCCATTTTTTCTAAGCAAACGATAGCTTATGATAAACACTTGAGGACAGAGCCCTTGAGACCTCGTGGTTTTTGGGCAAATTCCATCTCTTAAGGAGTCAAATGCACGTTCTTGATATTCTCTTGCAACAGTAATTTTAATTTTGAGATTTTCCTACACTATGATTATTGTTTTAAAAAATTGAATCTTCCCAATTGTTTGTCCAAAATCTCATTATTATGAGAGAATCAATGAGTTTTCTTTGATTGTTTCCTGGTATTCACGAATGTATCCACAGAAACTATACAACTGTTTGTGAATTACACGCTTCCGTGCATCAATAATGCTATTTTCTTTAATAATAAAAATCTGTTTTCATTTTGTTGGATTGGCAGGGATGCACATTGGTTTGGGAGGTGAGAGTAGTAGGCTGGGATGTATCCTGTGGAGCTGAGTTTGTTCCCAGTGGTGAGGGTGGATACACTTGGATTGTACAGAAATCGAGGAAGATAGGGCAATCTGATGAACCGATACACAGCTGCAGCTTCAAATCTGGTGAACCTGGAAAGATTGTGCTCACATTGGATAACCAAACTTCTAAGAAGAAGAAGCTCATCTACAGGTCCAAGATTAAGTCCTCAGATTGAAATTCCTTTCTGAATATAGTGCAGTAGAATCAGAAGGGGGGTTCCTTTTGTTCAATTCATATATCTATATATTCTTTGCTTTTGAATTACAATATCTTGGGGAAGTCATATATGAATATTTGTTCTTGTTTTTCTTTAATTGAAATTTCTGTGTTGGATTGTATTAAGTGAATGCAAGGATGGTTTAGAGAATGTTTGTTATACGAAGACACCCGACTGTATGACGATGAAGGAGAATTTAACTTATAATACTGTCGAGTAAGTCGAACATGCCGTTAGACGGCTGTATACAGTGGGTTGGTTTCTGTAAAATTTATGTAAATTTGATATTTTGTTCTTACTTTTTGTTTCTTTTTAATGGATGTTGATATTTATTGGATTCTTTTTATACCTTTGTCATTTTGTTTATTCTTATGAATTGGCCTTTTCATTTCATTACAGAAAATGACAATCTGTCAGATTCTTGTTTCTTTTTTTTATTCTACAGAAAGTTTGATTTGCAAGAATAAGCAGATGACACCACCAGATTATGCTCATTTCTTGCTTTTGTAGTTTTGCATTTGCTCTTTTAAACAACTTATGCTAAGAAGCAAAGATAAATCACTTTCTTGGTAAACCTTTTTCATTCTAGTGGAAATGTTTTGATAATAGTACTCCCCAGCCTATTATTTCAGTAGTGAGTTGGTTTCTAACGTTTAAAAGTGTGCAAGTATGTCCCTATTTTATAGTTGCGCAGTTAGTCGCTATCTTTCGTTAAACTGATTTCTCGCATTCTCGTCTAATTTTATGAAGCTGGGTTTTGTTTTCCAACTTGAAGTAGTGGCCATAAATTTGCAGTAAGTCTTGTTTCTATACGGAGTTTATTGAAGAATTGGACTCTTTCAGTAATATTTTGCAATTATAATAAAGGTAAGGGACCAACTTGGCTTTTTATGGAAACACAAATTTTTACCCCAACAATTAGCCATGGACCAGTGCTGCAATTTGTCCTAATTGTAGAATGCATCTTAGAGGTTCTTGGAGTCGAACTTGAATTGAGCTAACTCTCCAAATTTTATCAAATGAAAAAAATTCCATGGAAGTAGACGTGACACATATCTCTCTTTTGACTCTCATTCTCTAAAAATTATTTGTTTTTTTAAACTCATTTTCGCTCACGCATTCTTTCAATAAAATAATTTTGCACGTAAACTTAAAAATTTTCCTAAATTTTTAGTTATTCATTTTCCAAAAAATTACTACGATAAAACTCATTTTTCAAAAACAAAATGGATCTTAAACATACTAGTAGATACCTTTTCAACACACTGTAAATTCTCGCGCTCAATTTTTTTCCTTAGAAAGTATAGAAACATATTATTTATTTGATATATACTTTTGAGAATAGATTTCGTGAAATAATTATTTTGAAGAACTTGTAATTAAAAAAAAAAACAAAGAAAAATTATGAATTAAAGTTTTAAAATATTTTATAAAAAGAATGTAATTTAATATAAATTTGAGATAAAATAAATTTTAAAAAATCACTGCCAAATCAACAAAGTCAAAAAGGCCAAAATTCTTAGAATAAACAAATAGTAAAAAATGCAATGAACCACTTTATATAGGGGGGAAAAAGCAAAAAAAAAAAAAAAGGGCAATGTATCAAGATGCTTTTTTGGCACGTAGTTAGAAATGACTTTATTTTATGATAATACGATTACCAGCTGTTTGTCTTAAAGTTAGGTTTTTTAATCACCGATCAACTTTAATAAAATAAATAAAGTGATTGCTTAAGTATTTGGATAAAGTGTTTTTCGACAACCATTATTTTATCATATAGAATCTTTTACACACACGAGGATTAATAAAACGAAGTGTTTCTTAAGGTTAAGCTATCGCATTATTTAAATATCGAAATTTTCTAAAAATTTGACCTTTTCAGATGAGGTTTTAAGAATCGGCTGCTATTCATGTTTAAAAAATTTTGGACAAATAATTTGGTTCTTCTAAAGTTCAAATGAACGGTCCGATTTCAAATATAATGATTATTTATTGTTATTTGAAGCATATGTGCTTTTTTTTAAGTGGCAATATATATTTAAAAAACTTATTTTTTTTCTATGTATGATTGATNNNTATTTTTTTTCTATGTATGATTGATGTTTGCATAATTTTATTGACGAGTTTCAAATTAAAAAGAGAGAGAAAAAAATTGATTTGAATGTGTATGTTTGTTAAATTGGACGGAACTGTGCTTAGTTTGTCGTCGTAACTTTAACGGTAATGCAAGTCTATGAAAAGAGAATTAAACAAGACGGGACTCTTGGTCGACATTGTATAGCTTAAAAAGCAAACAAAAACTTGTTTTATGTTCAATAAAGTAGATTGAATAATATTAAAAGAATCAAAATCTCCTAAACATGCTATTAAAGAGGAATATGATGCAACACAAGCAATCTTAAGGGTTGAATCATGAAAGAGGAATATGATGTAACACAAGCAATCATAATGTTTGTGTAAACATTATTAAAGCTTTTCCATGAAAATCATAACATTAAAGAGTAAAAGGTTTTATATCAAAGATGGAATTCCAAAGGAAAAACTTTAAATTGGAATAAAACTTCCAAGCATTAGCACTTGTCACTACAAACTTGTAGGTGTGTTAAGTGGGGCGAGTCGAGCCGAGCCGAGCCGAACGACAATTTTACCATTTTTAACTATTCATCCGCTTGTAGGGATGGCAACGGGGCGGGGCGCCCCTATCCTACCCCGTCCCGCCACTCCCCCGCTTCGCCCCATCCCGTGCCCCGCCCCGTCGAAGACGAGGCGGGGCGGGGCGGGGCGCATTGCAGGACCGTTTCCCTACCCCGTTTATTTTATATATATATATTTTGCTATAAAAAATTTCCAGTTA